GACACACGGCCTTACAAAACCTGTCAAGAATATATCAGCATATGCCGCCCCAAACTCATCTTACTTCGAACTACTTCTTACCGTAGTATTGATGTCACCTTAAAATGGTCCTAAAATAGACTTCAATTTCTTCACACAAAATATATTTAGTTTGCTTTTGATTATTATTATTTTGGTTCAATTCATTTTCAATATTTTTTCATTTTTTACTATTTATTTATACAATTTTAGTGTTTTTTTTTTATTTTGGTGTGAAAGCTGACCTAGACATACATTTTTCATTAAAAAGTAAGATGTGTGATGGCTAGTCAGAGACTTGCACTCAGTCTCCTATTGTGTTAATTCAGTTTCCTCAGGACTTGAGGATTAAATAAATTAAATATAACTAATTATTTAACTAACTAACATGCTTCGGGGGAACCTAATCAAACTGGCATGTAACAAGAGTTTCGCTCATGTTTTGCCCAACTTCTGTTGGTCTTAGTCTGTATTCTTTCAAGCCTTCTTTGATTTACATTGTGAATGGCACGGTTCACGGGATGCTTTCTAGTTTCTGTAACAAGATGGTTTGTTAATGGTTGAATGCAGACTCACTGCTTTTTGAGCTGTCAAAAGTGAGTAGACTTTCCTTTATGCCTGGAAGTTGGTAAAAATCAATCCGACCATGGGCTATCAGCACTGGCGCAAGGCCGACTGACTGACGTCTCCCAGCTGTGCTGAACTGTATGAAAACAGGATATTCCCCCACTGCCCACCTGTCTTCAAAGAAACACTCTATCTTAGGAGTGATTTTGTATTGAGAAGCTCTTTCATGAGTTGAAGTGACTGCACATTAGTGGTGTTCAGATCAGATAGATTGATTCGAGAGGTCTCTTTAATTTGAATCTTTAATAAAACAGGCATAAAACTACATGTACAATGATGTTTACAGTTGTTTTAGACACAGTATACAGAAGCATATCATAATGCGGACATGTCGCACTGCATTGCTTGACATGTCATCTCAATTGCCCAAATACATAGTTTGCCACATCCCGTGGCAATTAAGCAAACGTGACAGTCTGGAAAGTATTCCCCATGCCGAGTTGTTAAGCAGATGGCAGTTCTGGATAACCCAGTGTATTAACACAAGTCTCCTGACAAATGTTGCTATTTCAGGTAGCGCTGATGAGATCGTCTGCATACAGGATTCTGGTACAGTATGTCCCACATAGCTTTTGGCACAGACTGTATGAGGAAAAATACAGCATGCTGCGGTTCTTGATATGCTGAAGCTGCCATGATAGCATAGATATCATGATTTTGTTGCACATTTATTTGCCCCAATTCCCATTACCATAATGTAAAGTATATATATTTATTACTGTGGGGGAAAAAAAGTTGTAAAATATTACATTTTATACATTAAGCAAACTTTTTGTCTACTTTTTTTTGTTGTAAGCATTTTTTGCCCCATAAAATTAAATTGTACGGGTTTTTTTTTGTTTTGTATGTTTTTGTTTTTACAAACTGAGAGTCTATGCTTCCATCAATGTGATGTCTATTGTTCTCTGTAACATACAACGGAGGTCATAAAAGGTAAAAAAATGGTCGCATTTATCTTTAAATGGACACAGGCCCTGTTGTTTGCTCACATACCTTTCCTGCGCTTTAAAGAATGGCATGCAATCTTCGATAAACACTCATCCCAGCTATTAGCTATCTTAGTAACCCACCTGAGAGGGCCGAAATTGTTAAAGCTGACTGTAGAGACAGAGAGTGGAAGGCTAATTATCTTGGATTCCACCTTCAGGTCTTGTTTGTGCAGTATCAGAAGTCTCACAGGTGCTCACATCTATCTCTCTGTTTGAAGTGGATCACAGGGGCTTTGATCCGACACACAGTCTCACACATGCTTGAGCACACTGACTCCATGCAGATGTTTACCATACACATGACCTCACTGGGCCAGGAATTCTCTTTGTAATCGCAGAGGGTCACTCGATACTGGTGACGAAGGAAAGGCGAGTGCAGAAAGTTTTATATTGCTCTTGGAATCTCTTTGAATGTCTTTTGAGGTAATGGTTTATTGTGGGTTATGTAACAGAATTTTAATCAGCGGGTTATTAGTGCAAAATATGACATGTCTAACTACTAAAATGTTATGATTATGGAAAAAAAAATAAGAGAAAAATAAAAGACTGCAGAATGCAGCAGTTGAGCAATCAGAACAAAGTGTTCCAGACAGACAGGATATAGTTTATTTTAAGTGTATAAATGTTTTTTTTTTTTTTTATCTTAAACCAGGCATTTTGTGCTACCATCCTGGATATATTTAAAGCCTGTCATTAAAAATCTTGTATTGGTTCTCTACGTTTTGGTGAATCTTTTTTTATTTTTTTTATTTATTTAATGCAATTTATTTATTTTTTTTCTGTATTTTTTTTTAATTATCTATGAGAAGTTGTGAACACCAATTTCAAATTTCAACATCAAAACACCCATTTAGCTACAAAATTTCAACTTTGATCAAATTTCAAGACAATTATTGTTTGACATTGTAAAAATTACTACAATGTTGCCATTATTATGCATAATATTTTTTTAGTATTTTTTATGGCTATGACAGTTTTTATTTATTTATCTAAATAATTATTTGTTTTATAGCATGTTTATTATTGCTAATGCAATCTATTGAATAAAGTGCTATATAAATTGTCATGCCATGTCTTGACTGGTCCAGTGCTGAATTGCAGAGCTGGTGCAAACATATCCACATCGCTATGATCAGAATCGGAGGCTTTAGCTATTTCCTTCTCACATACTGTCATTTTAGTTGTTTTTATTATGTTATTGAGAGGAAAGCTCACAGCACATTTAAGCAATAATGTACAAGAGGTCATGCTGTACAATACTGTGAATAAGTCACGGCTGAAGGGCGTTGTTAGGCATGACGCGAAGTGCCTACAACCCCTTCAGCCGTGCCTTATTCACAATACAGCACACCTCGAGTACCTTATTGCTTTTAAAAAATGGTTACCACACACGTATTATGTATGAAAACCAAAAATGTCTATATTTATGTTACTTTTTTAAAGTAAATTCATTAAATGCTGTCCTTCCACTTAAAAATATAATTCCTGACAGTTTGTCATGAGAATATAGTGTAACATACCTCATTGTGTGGAGCTCAATAAAGGCAGGGAATAGGAACTGTTCTCATCCTCTGTGTCATGTATTTTTTCACCAAAGATTTCTTTCTCACGCGCATACATCTGCTTATCTCTGTGCATGAGAAAACATCTGTTTTCCGTCTTTTAGTTTAAAACAGACAGATTTGTGGCACATCGTGAGTGTAAATTGATGGACATACAGTACTACACCTGTGAGAGAAAACTATTAAATACAGTAATATTCCCTCCACACTTGAGAAACTGTGGGCTTCCACACAAACACACACACACAATAAACTGTTAATTTTGCTGGAATACATAATACATGGAATGGAGGTATATTGATTGTTTATGTTGCTGAGGATGGTTGTTTAGGTTGGTGCAGTGATACACAGAACCATTGGGTGAAGCGAACATTGCCGTGGTTTATCATGAATAAAACGTAGCTATTGACCAATCAGAACCAAGGAACTAACCGTTTTATAGTTACACATTCATCTAAACGGAACAACAGCGTGGATGGTGCCAGGATGTCAAGTGTGCACTTAAATTCAAATGTTTCCTGAGTATTGGGTATTGGCATGGCTTATTTTGCAAACATGAAATAAGCTCCTTCAATCTCCTCAGTGCCTGCTTCCACTATGGTGTGGAAGTGACCTGAATTTGCCAATGTTAAAGGAGAACTCCAGTCAATTTTAACGTTAAGCTCCTTTTTTTTTACATTTGGAGTGCTGTCAGTACAGACTAAAACGACAAAATTCGGTGTTGCCTACACCGTGTTATCGTCTTTTTAAAATTCGCACCCTGTTGACTTAAATGGGGCATGTTCTAAACCTGCTTTTAGCCTCTTAATATCCTTGATTTGTCGTTACAAGTGCAAAGCCATGTTAGTCGTTTTATTAAGAGTGACCACGGTCAATCTGATGGCAGTAGATGTGAATGATATGAATAAAAATGATGTTAATTCAGCCAGCTCACATACCTCTATTTGCTTCCTTTTTTCGGTCGAAGCCCACAGTAGTCGATTGTCGATCTCACGCGCGCAATCATTTGTGAATATCATCTAAACGTGTTAAATCGTGTTAAACAGAACACAAAGCCACTTCCACAAGTCTTGCCATTTTATTTTCTTTAATACAGTCAGACAGGCTATTGATACGATTATTTGGGGGCTCGTACGGGATATAATACCATAATGTTGTTGAAATATTTGTGCTATTAGAGCGTCTAACTATTTTGTGGGTATTGTTGTTCAGATCCCACATTTATGAAAAATACATTAAACATGTTGGTCCACTTGAGGGCGGAGAAAGGAAGTCTGAATGTATATTATGGTATGGAGCTACTGAGTCTCCACAGTAGACTGCAAATTTAATGAGCTCCATTTACAATGACAAGGGGGCAATTACATGAGGAAACCGGAGGTAATTTGGTAAAAAAAAAAAAAAAAAAAAAAGCTTGTTAAATGAAGTGTAGTGCCTGCATGGCTGTACAAGCTGTACACACATTGGCTTTAGAGAGCCATTGAGTTAGTTTCTGGGACCATTCCTCATTCCGGCTGTAATAAAATGTGCATTGCCTGCTCCACCTGATGAGCCTGGATTATTGTAGCATTGCTGATACTGCACAATGAAACTAGCTCAGGGCAAATCTGAATGGTTTATTTATAGAAGATATACTGTATAATGCTGGCCATTTTTTAAATTTTTTTAGTCTTACTTTGCTGAGCTGCTAGCAAGAGGTTTCCAAAGAACTTTTGAAGCGTGCAATGAAACTGTGCCTTCACTCCATTCATGATTTCTGTTGAGTGACTCTTACAACAAACAATGTTTGGTTGTGTTTGTTCAGAGATTCGAGCCCAACTGGTGGAACAGCAGAAATGTCTGGAGCAGCAGACAGACATGAGGGTCCAGCTCCTTCAGGACCTCCAGGACTTCTTCCGCAAGAAGTCCGAGATCGAGATGGAGTACTCGCGCAACCTGGAGAAGCTCGCCGAGCGCTTCATGGCCAAGACCAGGAGCACCAAGGACCACCAGCAATATAAGTGAGTGTGTTGTATTACCGGCTATGACTTTGTGATTTGAATCTAGAAACTTTTGCTCTCGTCCCAGATCTTTAACCACTGACCCACATTATCATTAATATTTCCTAAAATGTTATGAACAATTTGATTTCTGTTTAACTGCTATGTGCCATATGAACTTGTTTCAAATGATGTAATGCAAATGATGGTGTCACTTATTTACATCAAGTGGAAATAGGAAGTAATCATGCTTATCTTTTATTTTCTGTTAATACATGGCACTTAATGGATTTGAGATTAAGATGACACTTTTCCTTTCTCATCTGAAATGGATCCCTAAATTATATATACTTCAAGGCAGGTGTGACCGTGTGAGCCTTCCTTCTGAACAGAAGAAAAAGGGATATTCCCTCACTGCTTTTTTTGTAGCTTAAGAATGATTCATTTAATTATACATTAAAGACAGTGCTGTGTTAATTTACATTGGATTACTTAATTAAATTTCTATACGGTTCCTAATTGAATATATTACAGTTAGAACTGTACTATGGAAGTCAATGAGACCAGAAACTGTCTGGTTACTGCTTTTCTTCTAAATATCAGAAAATCGTCTGAATGCATTTGAAAATGATGAAACTCAACTGTTTAACTCTGGGGGAGTTGTAAAATGAGCCTGTTTACAAAAAAGAGTGGAGTAAAGCACTGTTACATGTGCCAAAAACAACATTGCGACATGCAATTCATTAGTTAATTAGGAAATAATCATTATAGGCTCCTTGATATAGTAGATTTTCACATCATCCTATTTAGTAAAATATATACATCTCTCAGTGAGCCTATAACGCTGCTGATTTATTCTCAATGTAGTGCAGTATTAAGACATTATGAAACGTTGACAGGAACAAAGTCAAACTGTGGTCATCATGGTCTTATTATGCCAGTTCAGTCACTGGCTGGAAAATAGTCTATATCAACATGATGTTAGTATAGAAACCAAAAATATTTTTAAAACTCAAAATATTGAGTGTGTTTGCTTTTCATTTCTGTAAATAGACCAAATATTAAAGTTAAATAGCCCTAAATGAGTCCAGCAGCTGTGTGCACAACTGGCGGCAATGGAGAATCTCGTCGTGGCACTTGTGGTTTATGTGGCCTGTTGGTTTGAGAGAAGTATAAGATACTTGACACAACTCACTACCATATTCTGAAACACAAGATGCAAAACCTGCCAGTTTTTAAATACCTGCAGAAGTAAAGAAGGGTGCAAATTACAGTGTGAGGTTATTGGTGAATATCTGCATTTTTGCCTTTTTAAGAGATTAAAAAAACTATGAAGGGAGCCAGTTTTAAAGCCAGTTTAGCTCAATGAAAGCTGTGTTTGCTGAATGAAATCAGCATGAGCTTTATTAACTGGGATATCCGCACACCCCAGAGTTGTTAGAAAAGAACATCTCATTTTAAAATAGAGTCGCTTTAACAGCTCTTTTAGCTAAATTTGGACTCTTCTGTAACCACAGGGCTTCAGCAAAGAGGTCCACGCCATTGCCGCTGTGTTTGTATCCCATTTTGTTCCGTAGTCCAGAGGTCTGGCCCGATGTCTGACCGATGGCGTCTAGATGAGGCCAGCTGAGCCAAAGTAGAGGGTGTGTTTTACCCTTTTGTTGAAGTTGGCCTGATATGTGCAGTCAGCAGAATTGTGCAAAACCAGTGAGAGGGATTATTTAGTGACTGTTTGTCAAGAAACAGTTTACTGTACTGTTTGTTTATTGTAGTCACAGAATCAATCTTCTCAACAGCACTAGGAGCATCTCAGGTGACGCTCAGAGCAAAGTGTGATGGATCGGGCCTGAAAGTTGAATACCAGAGAGATGTGGTCCCATTGCATTGCTAGTGTGTGTATGGATTTGGTTAGGTCTTAAATGAAAGTTTCCATTTTAGTATTTTTTTTTTTGTACTGAAAATTAGATTTGACTTTTGTAGAAAATTATGGGTAGATAAAAAGTAATAACATTGAATTGACCACAGGATCTAATTTCGCAACAATTTAAATCGTCCATTTTAGAGAATATCCTTCTGGTCTAACCATTCCTGCTTGACCAACACAAGCGATAGCTCCTTTGTGTCAGTTTTAATCTATTAGCATCCTTGACAATACAACAATACACAATGCACATTTTACACTAACGTTTATTCTGCAAGGAAGGACACATTCAATTTAATCAAATGTAACAAAGACTTTTACATTGTTACAAAAAATTCTATTTTATACATTGTTTGAACTTTCTATACATCAAAGAATCCTGGGAAAAAAATCCGTTTCCAGAAAATTATTAAGCAGCACAAATGCACAACATTGGTAATATAAATGTTACACTAAATCAGCATATTAGATTGATTTCTAAAGGATCATGTGACTCTGAAGCCTGGAGAAATGCCTAAAAATGCAGCTTTGCCTTCTCAGAAATAAATTACATTTTAAAATAATATAAAAATATATAAATAATGAATAAAAAATAAATAATACAAATAAAATAATATAATAATAAAAAAATATTAAAATGAAAACATTTGATTACTGTTTTACTGTATTTTTGATCAAATAAATGCAGCCTTGTTGAACATGAAAATAAGAGACGTGTTTCAAAAACATTACTGATGCCAAACTTTTAAGTAATAGTGTTTCAATAATTAAATATTTTCGTGAATTCCCAGTAATTATTGAATAAAAAAAAGTTTGATTTCAGTGTGTGTCAATTCCTGTAAATTAACAGTTGTAGCCTATATTTAGGCATTCACACCACCCACCCTCTACTTACTGACGTCATGTCCGCTCCAGGTTCTGGCTTTACTTCTGTGCACATTTACAAGGACTGGTATTTGTGAGCTGCGTGAGTAAACTTCTCCCAGATGACACTGTCGTCGTGGCGACTAATCGACTGGTGCTTAGTTTAGTGCCCGTGTTTGTTGAGCTAACAGGCATCGCATACAGTTTACAGCATATCAAGGTACTCAGGATAGGATCTATTTAGTTATATTCATCATCCAGCTGCCAGATTTGGTCTCCAGATTTCTTTCTGATTACTTGTCATTTTGCAGAAGCCTTTTAGCCAAATAGACTTACCACAAGGACACATTTCCTGTAGGAAACTGAGTATAAGTGTTTTTTTTAGGTTACAGTAGGTTTTAGTTTTCATTTTGGTTACACGCCTAAAATGAAATGGAATTCAATTCATATAAGGTATTATGATGAAATACTATGCCCCAGTAAGTTTGTTCGGGTTTTAGTTGTCTGCGTGATTGCACCTTCACTCACATTCATTTTGATGACCTTGCTGTTGGCTGCCAAACCTTCCAGTGAAGCGCTCTAGTTTGCTCTGGCATTTCGCAATCGATGAGCTGTCAATATAATGTTTGCGATCTGCAGGATGTTTACACCAGCACAGAATGAAGTTCCTCTGGCTGCTGTGTTGATGTAGTTACTTGTAGTTTGGGTGTATTTATGCCACTGGTAATGATCTGTTGGGTTATTATGATATCAGCAGATTTGGGCCACATTCATTTTAGTGTAATTAATTTGGGTAATTACCACCAATGTTGTTGTATAGACTTGCTTACACCTGGGAAGTCGCACATTGGTATTGCTTTCTGGAAAATTGTAAGGAATTTATAATGGCTTTTATGTGGGAGTTTTGACTTACACTTAAAACAATGCAGGGTTGTTTTAAACCAATTTTGGGTAAAATGGACAATTATGGATGAACTATTTAAAAATGTAGTCCAGCTGGGTTTGTCCATATTTGCCCCAAAGTTGGGTTGAAACAACCCAGCAGTTTTTAGAGTGTATCTAGATCTTCATAATTGTCTAAACAGATTTTGGAGACATTGATTTCATCATACATAATCATATCATTTTAAAGTTGGTTGTGAGACCACTTTTTTAATTCCTGGTCCATCTTCACTCTCTGGAGTAATTTAAAATTGTGTAGAAAGTGTTCCGTTCCCTTGAGATGATTGCACTTTTGCCTTAATTTATATAAGCTTTTTTATTGGTCGTTTTCTCTTGTCTATTTATTTAGAAGTTTTTGATCAAATTTTGTCCTGTGGAAGCACCAAGATGTGTGCTGTGCAGTGAAGAGTAGTGGAGAGCGGGTGGTTATTAATCTCATCTGAGCAGTAGAGCTGATTTACTGAAGCCTTTAATGTTCCAGCTGGCTCTCTGCTCTACTCGGCACTAATGGCTGCTTTTGTATCAGTTCTGATTAGTCGCGTCACGTGCTTTCCAAATCAACTCATCATGTCTTTTGATTACCCAGTGTGACCACTTCCTCCCCAGTTGTCATCACTGCTATGCCCACCATGGCTGTGAGCTAATAGACTCTATGACTCAAATGGATTCCTGTATATATAATTTTTACTTATTTAAATAATTGTATGTATTTATTTTACAAAAACAAAACAAAAACGAAACACCACAGGAATCAGTCCGATGATCGGTTTAATACCGCTAGTCCATGTGGTAATTATATTGGGCATAAAATCCAAACGTCGCTTTTCATTCATTGGCATCAAACATGGTGTATCATTTGAAAAATAAGTAGCTTAACATTACCACTTTACACTTTACATTTATCTCGGTTAAAGGGTTAGTTCACTTGGAAATTATTTTTGGTTTGTTTTAGCTTACCTCAAGGGCATCCAAGATGTAGGTGTCTTTGTTTCCATAGAAGTTTCAATTTTGATATTTTTAGGTCAAACCGTTCTTGTCTATCAGTCATATAATGGAGGTCTATGGTCACCACCTCTAAGAGCATGCACAGAGAAGTCCAAATTAAACATGATACAATGACTTGTAAATGTAAGTACACACTTGTAGCCTAAGACACGAAATGAGCGGTTTGTGTGAGAAAACGAACAGTATTTATATTGTTTTTACATATTGTAACCACAGCCACGTCCAAGTGATCTGAGGGTGCGGGCGCTTCGGTCTCCACAAGCGCCGGAATGATCTAAATATGGTTGTGTGAAATAAATTCAATGTTGTCTGTTGATGTATATCGAAATCGTGTTCCATTTCGATTTCATGTATATCTAAATATGTTTAGATCTTCACAATGAAAGGTAACACTTCTGAAATCTCAGTGTAAATGATCAGTGACGTACACGCGCGTGCACGCTAAATTACTGCACTTACTGCATGACGTGTTTAACTCAACGTGCATTTCTCTCTATAGATGCATCCATACTGCTGAGATGAGAGTCAGCGTTAACATCTTTGCCTCCAAGATTGACTCAGAAAACGCTAGCATATTATTAAATTATTAAAATGTTCAGACAGCTTCCTTTTGTTTGTTTTTTTCTGACACATTCATAATCATTAATGTATATTTTAAAGTCTCATTATTATGGTTTAGTATTTCTCTTTAATGTAGAACAATGTTCGCAATATTGCATATATTATTCTTTGTCAACCCTGAAACTTCAACCATTTTACATTATTAAATTTAATGTTATTAAATTCATATTCCATTATTAGGGTTTGTGAGGTAGACCAAGTTGTCTCTTATCATCCACTCATGCCTGCCAGGAATGTATTAGCCTCGTGACTCTTTTTATTCATGCATTTCAGTGCTCAAGAAGGAGAAGCTATGTTTTTGCTGCTTTATGAATCCGAATCATGTGTACACATTTTAAGCTTTCTGACAACCCAACTCGACTCTGTTGTCTCATAGCTACACACAGTCTGTGTACTTTATGATTCTTTATACATAGTACACACAATCCTGAGTGTGTGCCTTAAAGGCTGAGAGGATTTACAGTAGAGGTCGACCGATTCATCAGTCTTGAATGCCGATATATCGGTACCGATAGTAGATTGGTGGAACTATCGTTATCGGCAAAAATCCAAACCGATAGTTTGTACGGGTTGCGTCTGTTGCTGACTCTATGGATTTATATGAAATGATAACACATTACAATAAGATTAAATTTTTTGCATTTACTAAGGTTAAGAAGTGTTGTGGAAGTATTATTCACTGTTTGTTAATTTCAACATTTAGTAATACATTTTAAATTAAGTTTTAATTTTAATTTGATCTGTTATTACCTACCTTAGTTAATGTAATAAACTAACATGAACGGTCAAAATACAATTGTATTGCTTCAATAATAATGCATGCAGTAAAACTGTATATTGAACAATGCATAGTTCATGAAAGCTGTATTCCACCCTTGTTAACGAATGTGACTTACAAAGTGTTACCTATTAAATTTACAAATGTTCCTAGGTTGTAGCTAAAGAAACCTGTAATATTTTAATGTTTAAATTATTTTCTGTAGAAGTTCTCATTTTTATATATTTATTTAATTTAGCACATTTCAGTTCAGCGCTGTTTTACTTGGAGTGTTATGTTTGTTTTTAATCCAGTATCAAATATCGGTTGAATAATCGGTTATCGGCATGCATGGTCAAACCCGAATATCGGTATCGGTAAAATCCAATATCGGTCGACATCTAATTTACAGTAATTGCAGACTGACAGAAAGTGCACAGGCTCTCATAATTTTCCCTTCAATGTGAATCCCTGGCGTGTTCATATTGTGACCATGCATCTTTAGGGTTTAGGCTCAATTAGATTATCCATTTGATCCATTCTCACATAGATGACATCCTCCAACCCTGGCTGTCTAAACAAATCAGTTACTCTAAGGAATGTCTAACATCTGTATGGATTTAGTCCTGTTTTTGCATTTTTCCTGTTTTTGAAGAACACTGTTAAGGTTAAGCACTAGATGTATTGGTTTGGATATATATTTCCTTCACCTACACTGAAATGCATTGCCTGTTTTTTTGGGGAAGGTTATGAAGGGAAATGGAGCTGAAAAATACTTCCTTGTTTAATACCAAATGTCTATAAGTTGCCAATGTCACCTCCTCCTCAAATGCAACATTGCTATTACTATTGCAAATATTTAGGGGGTTAGAAGTTTGTTGTAGCCTGTAAGATTATTTTCTCTCCAAAGATGATTTTGTTTCTTTATTCTTCTGGAAGAACAAGGAACTGCTAGGAGACACAAAGAGCTATCGATGATTTTAAAAGAAGAATTAAATAGCAGAACACATGAAACTTTGATTGCTGAAAAATAATAGATCTATTTAACTTTTTTTTTTTTAATTGTTTCAACATATAATTAATATTAATGCTCTAGTATTCTGATATACTGGTACTTATTAAAGCTTTAAACTATTTTTGAAACTAAGATGATGAAATAGTTCAATAAATCAATATTTTGTGCTCAAATAAACTACTGTTCAAAGGTTTTCAAAATGTTTTGAAAGTTAATATTGTACAATATTATTAATATTGAAAAAAAAAACATTTCTATTATAGTATATTTAAAATTGATTTTTTTTTTCCCTGTGATGGCAAAGCTGAATTTTTAGCATCATTACTCCAGTTTTCATTGTCACATGATCCTTCAAAAAATCATTCTAATATGCTGATTTGGTGCTCTAGAAACATTTATTAATATTTTGTGGAAACTGGGATATTTTTTTCAGGATTTTTTGGTGATTAGAAAGTTCAAAAGAACATAATTTATTGGAAATAGAAATATTTCATCTATCATTTGTTAAACTTTATAAATATCTTTACTGTCACTTTTGATCAATTTTAATGCATCCTTGCTAAATAAAAGAAAAAAAAATTAAAACAAAAAAATTCATTTGTTTAATAAAAAAATCTTACTGACCCTGAACTTTGAATTTCATCAGTGGTGTATTTACTAGAAACTGTGTTTGTCATATTGCAGGTATGTAGTAATCTGGAGAGTTCTGACCCAGAAAGTTTCTGAATCTCCCACATGTCCCAGAAGCACATGATGTTCCACATTTTTGGTCCAACTCACGGTTCTGTTGCTCTGCATGCATGCTACAAAGTATCCACAGATCGTGAATGCTTAAATAGGGCATGTATCATCAAGGGAAGAGATGAGAGGGATGTTAATGTGTGATCCACGTGAATGGATCTTAAAGCATCCTGATGGGTGCTGGGAAGATGGATCTGTCTGTGGTTTCATCCAGTTCGTTAAGTGCACAGATGGTCCTGACAGCCCGCAGACAGGAGCCTTTCATTATGTTTGATCAGTGTCTATTTCTCTGTTTTTCTGTCGCATGCAGGAAAGACCAGAATCTCTTGTCTCCGGTGAACTGCTGGTACCTGTTGCTGAACCAGGTTCGACGGGAGAGCAAAGACCATGCGACACTGAGCGACATTTATCTGAACAACGTCATCATGCGCTTTATGCAGATTAGTGACGACTCCACACGTCTTATGAAAAAGGTCTGTGTTTTTGATTACATTTCAAAGGCCTCCAGTCTCTAAATGTTCTTTAAAGTCTCAAAATAACTTGTTGACTCTTGAGAACATGTTGTAGAAAATGCTATAAAATAAAACCACATTTAAGTAAATTCATTGCAAATCTCTTTATTGATAATCAAGCTGAAGACGCAATACTGTTCAGTAGGGGTCAGTAAGATTTTTTTTTTTATTAAAAAAATAAAATCATATTTTTATTCAGTGGGGACAAATTAAATTGTCCTCCAAAATAACTGTAAAGTGACAGCGAAGACATTTAAAATGTTAGAAAATATTTGTTTTGAAAATTTGTCAAAGAATTCTGAAAAAATAAAAATAAATAAATAAATAATCACAGTTCCCAAACAAATTTGACCCCAAACTTATTCATGGCCACTTGAATGGTCATTTATAAGTTATTCAGCTCTGCTAAATGCTAAAACTACATATATTTTTTAAGGAATGTTAGCATGCCAAGTAAATATTTGACAAACTTTTCACTTGTCACTTTTTTTGGTACTTTTTCCATGTTTATGTCCATCGTACGTGTGTTATAGTACTATTTACAAAAAACATATATTTTCTGGTGTTCAACATAATGCCTGTGAGCACAAATGCACTCGATTAACTTTGAACATTCCCTTTAAAAATTCACATGAAAAAATTATCTGCATTCGGGAGAATATAAGCTATTAATCAAGACACTACTTCACATTTATGCCATAAGATGTGCAGTTATTTTTAGCTATGGGAAATGCAAAAAAAAAAAAAAAAAAAAAAAACTCTTTGTTGAGCTACATTACTTTCTCTGTTTATTGTTTTACTGTCAGTCCTCTTTTCCTTTTTTTTTTTTTTTGTTCTTTTCCAAAGCTATTTTTATTCCTTTTGAATTTTTATATTTCAAGCAGTTCCTGGTATATTTTTGGACCCTAAAAGCAACTTTACAGCATATTTAAGCTTTTCAGCCAAAAATGAAATGATTTTTATAAATGTATTATTTTGTGTTCCACCGAAAAAAGAAAGTTTATAAAAAGGTGAAATTATATACAGTATTTAAGTACCGAGTAATATTAATCAACAACATGTACTATAAGGTTAGGGAAGGATTAGGGTTTAGTTGAGGGTTAGTTGCATGTTACTATGGTAAGAACATTTAACATACAGTATGCAACAAGGACACTGTAAAATAAAGTGTTACCAAAAAGTATTTTAAAAATGTTTCAACCGTTTTCGTCCGTACAATGAAATAGAAATGGGGTTTAGTGTTGTTTTGGATCCCATGGACCTTCACAAACCAAAACTATATTTTATTTATTTTTTAAAATCTTTTTAATTTCAATATATCCTCCACACAAGAGAAAGTAAGACATACAGGTTTGGAATGACATCAGGTGAATATATGATGAATCAGGTGAATATACGTCCATTTCTGGGTGAACTATCCCTTTAATAATTGTCTTTAATGACAATCAGCGTACGTCTTGGTTTCTATCAGCTTTGATATAGTAGAATGAGCCCAAATGGTAACGTTTAGTCAAACGTAGTTGCCTGCAATTGTCATTGCTGTATGAATACTGTTGGACTACCTCAGATGCTGCATTATGATACTATGCAAACCTCTTTGTGAATTGTAATTTTTTTACATGTGATCTATGTGAGGTGTAAAGAGGATTTAAAGAGATTTATAGTGTACCTACGTGCAGTTAGTTCTTGCTTATCTCAGATGTGGGGCATGTGATGTTTTGCGTGGTACGGGATTGTTTGTGTGCCTGTATTCACTTGTCAGATTTACGATGGGAGTCCGGCCATACGGGAACCTCTGGTTCTGGGCTGCGGTTCTGTTCTGAGAAGTTCCTAAAGACCGAGCTCTAATCATGGCCTCCTGCCTGTCGTTTGATGTCTGCGGCCCCATGACCAAGGCGACGTGGCGGTCCCTCCAGCGCAGGCCACAGAAGGGGGACAACTCCCAAACAGATTATGTGCTGCCATGCATGCGAGTCATATGAGACGACCACAACAGCAAATTACAAGGCTGGAATGTGGGAGGTATAAGTTTGGTCTCAAACAGGGGTTATTCGGAGGGCTTGACCAGCAGATCTGACTGGCTTTGAGATGGTTAAAGAGAGAATTCACCCATTCTGTCATTATTTACCCATCCTTATGTTGTTCCTAACCAGTATGAGTTTCTCTCTTTCATTGAACACAAACAAAGTTTTGAGAATGATTTTGACCACACTTTTAAAATATAATAAGTGAATCAGAACTGAGGCTGTGAAGTTCAGAACAGTTCAAAAAAGCACTTTAGAAGGATCATAAATGTGGTCTAAATGACTCAAGTCCCCTCATTTTTCCACTAATTTAATGTCTTTCGTACCTGAGGAACCTTTTTATAATTCCTAGAACTAAATGCGAATGTACCTACTTTTTGGCGTGCATTAGGAACTGGTAATGATTAGTTCTAGGAACTCCTTTTGGAGGAACTAAATTAGCTCCTACTTCAGAGTAGGGTCTAAACCAGCACTATAAGAACTACCAGTGACATAAGTGTACGCTGATTGGCCGAACGCTTGTGAGAAACCACACACACAGATTATAGCCTCAAAAACAGAATATTATCTCTTTACATAAAGGACAAAATTCGACGCAACTTTTGAGTGGCCCAAGCCAAACATGATTATGTATTTTTTTGCTTAGCTAGCGACATTGGACATCAACCACATGGCAAAAGCTAATACTTCGTTCATATACTGTATACATTCTATATAAAACAATTAGATAGAACTGTTTAACAGATTGAAACCATCTGAAAATGCAAGCACTGTCTTCCTCGGGCTCTGGCATTCTCAGCGGCGTAAAATGTCCGCCGTGCTGTTAAAATAAGTCACAACAACAAAGCGCGGCTTACATCACTTCAGAGTTTTTACTGGTGGTACGAATGCTAGTTCCTATAAGTACCTGGTGCGAAAGTCCCTAATTTTCAAAGTACCAGAATATGCTGGTCACTTTTTCCAGACTAAGGTTGTCCCATTAAAAAATAAATAAAAATAAATGGCAAACTACTAGAAAAGGTCTCCATTTGTTTGCGATTCACTTTTTTTGTGATTTTTTTTTTTTTTTTTTTAAATTGACCACCCTAGTCTGGAAAAAGTGACCAGAATATTCTTTAAAACTTAACCTTTGGTGCTCCTCAAAAGTAAGTTAAAAGGTTTTGAAACACACACACAAGAGTAGAATAGATGAATAGATAATCACTGATTTTTCATTTTTGGTTGAGACATTTCTTTAAAATTATGTCATATTGGTCTGATGTAGAGCGAGCTTTTGTTGCATGCTAACACAAGGGGAAACTGCCCATTACTGTAAGGTGTAGTACTCTATTATGACATAAAAACCAGGTGTTCTTTGTGCTCCTCACAGCTGTTTTTATTAGAACAAGTACATAATGTTCAAGTACGTTGGAGAAGACCTCATGAGTCATGACAGAAACTCCCAATAGAAGGAACCTCAAAACAAAGCTGATGTGTCTGTAGGCCTTAAGTGACTAGTTATGTAACAAAACAACCTCTTATTACACACATTCTCTCTTCTCATGCTCTCTGTGTGACACAAAAGTGCAGAAGAGGGAGGGCAGTGTGTTGTTTTCCTCAAGGGTGCTGGATGTTGTTGGTGGGGGGCAGTCATTCACCCATGGTGTTGAAACTGCTCTTCCCTGTAATCAGTGCTCCCCGCTTCCTTTGATCACAACATGGTTTCAGTAATGAGCCACACATATGTACAGGAGAGCAAAGCCCCTGCTGTCCCTTCAACCCTCAGAGGCACAGTTGCAAGAGAGAGGGAGACCTCCAGACTGTCTCACAGGAGGCTTGTTAGTGGTGGTCACTCTTAGGCCCCGTCCACACTACTGTGTTTTCGTTTAAAAGAGAGCTTTTCCTACGCTTGCACCTCCCGTCACGACTAAAACGGAAAAAACGAAGACCTAAAACGGAGAAGTTTAGAAACGCTGCCGCTCGGTTTTGCGTTTTGAATCTCCGGAGGGCGTTTTAGTGAAGACGGGACAAAACGGAGGAGTTTAGAAACGATGACGCATAGGCTCACGCTCGGCTCTATGATTGGGTGTCATCAGTCATGACTTGTCCTTCCCTGATTCGTCAGCCACTGTTTACACCGGCACGCGCATGCCCAGTGTTGGTGAATGGTCACGTGATCCGCGTTTCAGTCGTTTTAATGTGGATGGAGATCAATTCTAATACGCAAACAAAACGCTGGTGTGGACGGAGATCGTATTCGTTTTAATCCTCCGTTTTTAAACGAAAACGCAGTAATGTGGACTGGCCCATTCTGTTGCTCATATTTAAGGTTAGGGATTTTTGCCTTGCCATCACAGGAATAAATTACAGTTTAAAACATTAAAATAGAAAATAATAACACAGTAATATTGGAAATATCTGATTTTTTTTTTTTATTAAATAAATGCAGCCTGGTTGAGCGTAAGAGACTTCTTTCAAAAACAGTAAAGAAACCATTGAAACTTTTGAACAGTAGTGTAAGCTAAAGCTCAGAAAAGCCAGTTGATAAGTTAACAGTGAAAATAAGAAATACTAGAAACTCTTTCCATTTAAATGCAAAAGAGAGTGTTAAAGGATCTGTGATGCACTGTTTTCACGGAACAGTCGTGCATTCAACCACATATAGCATCACTGGAGCGCACGTCCTTTTCCTAGTATGCATGTACAATGAGGAATTCCATCATGGTAGGGGAGATTTTGTCACATGTATTTTGTTTTCATTATTTATACAACATGCTTTTTTTAAAACTCTTAGGTTATTAATGAAATCCAAGGTTGACTTTCCTGATGCACTCAGAGATGATGTTTGTTCTTCTTTAAAGATGTTATTTGTTTTACTGTCAATAGATGAATCCTAGTTTTTTGATTTATCTAAACAACTTCTTTACTAATTGCATTCCATTTTCAACAGTAGGTTCA